TAAGTTGACATATCGGAGATATACAAGTTTTTGATATTCAATAATCGTTGCCGGTAGGAATTGAACTCTAGACCTGCTACTTGGGGGTGACAACTTGACTACTTCACTAAGTCGCCACACCCTTTTTTACTATTTTTATTTTTCTACTAACTTTCACTTACTTTTATAATTTTTATATACTTCTTTTATATACTTTTTACAATTTTCACTTTTTTTATTTATAACTTCGCTTTACTTATTTTTACAACTTTTACTAAACATTCACTTATTTTTATATTTTCATTGACTTTTACTAACTTTTACTAGTATAATCATATTTATTTTTGTTTTAGAACTTTAACTTTTTATTTACTTCACTTACATTTTTCAATTTTATTTTCACAACTTTTGTTATCTTTACTTTTACTATTTTTGCTAACTTTTATTTACTTTTACAACTTTTACTAACTTTTACTTACTTTTATAACTTTTATTTACTTCTTTCATATACTTTTTATAACTTTCACTTATTTTATTTATATCTTCGTTTAGTTTACTTAATTTTATAATTTTTGCTAAACTTTTACTTATTTTTATACTTTTGTTAACTTTTACTAACTTTTACTGACTTTTACTAATTTTTATTATATGTTTGTTCTTATATAATTTATTTGCTAGATTTGGTTTTACTTTGTATTACTATATAATTACATACTATCATACTTGTATATTTACAAATTTATTATAGTAACAAATAGAATCTGATCAATACATTTTGTTAAAATGATAAACAATAAATTTGATGATACTGATTTATATTTTACAAAATACTGAAATAAATATATTTGACAAAGATTTTTTTAATGAACTACAAACTGTAAAAGAAACAACAGAAAATAAAATTGAAATTGATGAATTTACAGATTTTGAAAAAGGTTTATATCTATTAACAAAAGAACAAAGTTTTATAGATTGAGAAAATGTTGAAAGATATAATTTTTTTTTATATAAAGCTGTTCAAGTATTAATTTATAAAAGCTATTTTAATAAACATAGATGTAAACATGAATTTGTTTTTTATTAGTAAAAAGTGAGTTAGATAAAAATGACAAAATCTCAAGACACTGTATCTATTATGCTTAAAAGTATGCTGCTATAAGACAAAGAAAAAAGTATATATATTAGAAGAAAGAAACAAGACTCATAAAAATATAAAATACAAATTTTATATTAATTTTCAAAAATAGAAGAATAACAACCAAATACATATCTCAGGTATAAGTAAAGATATGTTATCTAAATTTTTTTTATATATAATACTGTTACAAGTAGACTGTAGCCTTCTTAATACAGCACAAGTAACAAAGTATACAGCTATAGAGCTCTATTGTGAGATTATAGTAGTATAGAAGTGAAATGTAACTTCACTAAGAGCAGTTTATAGAAAGTATATAGTTTAAAGAAAGATATATTTTATTTATGATATAAGACTTTAATTACAAGAGATAATATTTCTATAACTAAAAGATATCTGTATCTAGAAGGGATGTCTAAGTCTTATCTAGCAGAAAAGGAAAAAGCCAGGGTTTATATATCTTTTTTCTAAACTAATAAAACTAATACAAATAATAAGAAATAGTAAAAATAGTAGAAATAGTAGAAATAGTAGAAATAGTAGAAATGGTAGAAATAGTAGAAATGATAAAAATAGTAGAAATAGTAACTATTCTTTTCATTCATCAATGAAACTACTTAATAATATTATACAATAATATAATAATACAACAATAGAATATAATATAATAATAATAATACTAAATAATACTACAGTCAAACCTCCATAAATGCAACATGTACAGACCAGCCTAAAATGTGCATTTAGAGCGATTTGCATTTAGAGAGAGCCAATCAAATTGCAGCTTTTAATATTTGATCTGCAAACTTGTATAACAAACTTAAATACTGACTTCTGATTGGCTACGTGCACTTGGAGAGGTTAGTATGATATAAAAAATCTTTTGAATGAATGTGCATTTGCAAAATATAGAACGTGCATTTAGCACTAATGATTTCATACAGCCAAGACAAAAATGTGTATTTAGAGAGGTATTGCATTTATGGAGGTTGCATTTAGGGAGGTCCGACTGTAATAAAAAATTTAGAAAACTCATTCTATAACAATACGTACTGTATATACTATATATATAGTGTATATATTATAAAAAATTTTTTGTATACTATACTATATGCAGCACATCTCTAGATATAATTAGCAAATATTTATACCCAATAAGTGATAACATACAAATAGCTGCATCTCAATATTATTGCCTTATGCTAGAAATGCAAGATAATATTGAACTTCTTGCTAGAAGCAATATACATACTGAAGCAATTATTAATGTATTAACATATAAGTAATAATTACCTTGTAGGACTCATTTGGTTATATCTTAAGCAAATTAATATTTGAAGTCATTTTCATGATATTGTCTTGCTTGATACAACCTATAAAACCAATCAACTCAATATGATAATATATATGATAATTTGCATAGATAACTATAATAGGTCCTGTTTTGTTGCAATAGTCTTAATTATAGATAAGCAAAAAATAATATTTGAATAGATTTTGTGAAAATTACTTGAAGCAACAGGTTGTTAGATTACTTATTTAATTAGTTTATTTATTTTAGTCTATATTTTCTAATTATTTTTTATTTTTTATTTATATATTTATTTATTAAAAAAAATTAGCTTCTAAAGTTGTTTATACAGATTTGAACCTAGCTCTAACTAGTATAATAGAAAGTATTCAACCTAACATAAAACACTATTTCTGCTTATTTCATATAAAAAAATTTTAAAAAGTATTTTTTTTCAAAATTTGGCAGAAAAAAATTTAGAAAATTTTTTATTAGCTTTTGTTATGCAAGAAATAGTACTATAGAAATTGTATTTAAATGAAACTAGCAAAAAGTCATAGATTTATTTTCTAAAGCACAAGCTTATTTGAGACATTAACTTTATCTTCATCAGGAGATATAGGTCCTTGTATTTATATATCAGTTTTTTAACTATGATATACAATCAATTCAGAGAATCAAAGTTTATAATAAGATCCTTAAAAAATCATTAAATAGAATGATATCATTACTTGAAGTTGTAAACATTATTAAGTGATATCTAATAAATGAGTTATAATTTGTAAAACTTAATGAAGCTAGCGGAGAGTTATCACATATTGCACTTGCATCATATTGTATTACTATTTCATAGCTATTGACAAAGTTTGCACAAAGTTCCTTACACTAGCTATACAAAAGTTACAATATTATCAAATTGATCAATATCCTTATTATAGAACTTATTGTACAAATTTGAGGCTAAGTTATAATAATGATAAAATATTAATGAAATAGTATACTGTTTTAATATACATATTTACAAGTTTTGATAATCATTTTTAGATTTTTAGTATGTTGAACCTAAAAATTGTATCTGTCAAGAAAATTTTTACTCATATATTATTAATTATCTAATTATCTGAGTAATTTATAATACTCAAATAGAAATTTTCTTTATAGATATAATCTCTAGTTAAACTATCTAGTTTTGGTCAAAAATTATATAAAATTTTATTGTAATTATTATTAATATAATAAATTTTGTATAATTTCTGATTTATAAATTAACTTATTAAGTATTAATTTTTGGTATATAATTGCTAATTTTCTTATTAGCTTAGTTTATTTGTTTAGAATATATCAGAGGGCATGTTTAGTGAGGATCTATATGATGAGGTTTTGATTAAATTAACAGAATTTGTTGATAGTATTAATACTAATAATATCAAAAAGCTTTGGGTAGTATTATGTATAGATTGACAAAAATATTATTTTGTTATTCTATTTAGTAATACGAGTCATTTGTAAATTGTAGTATTATCTGTTGTTATTTTTTTTCCATTTTACTAAAGAGTAAAATTGCATAGTTTCATATTGAAATCTTGACAAAACATTGATTTAATAATCATATAATACAAAAAAATGAAGAGCTTAGTAATGAATATACAATTTTGATTCAGAATGATCAAAACTTTGATATATTTGAATATAAAATCTAGATTAATTTTTTTTATTGATTCAATACATGGTCAATATGTTTTAATTTAAGATATAGCATTATATAAAGAGTTGTTCTATTTATTATAAGGGTTTTAGTTTAATAAAAAAAGCTCTGAACTTGACAATTGAAACTAGTCATACTGAAGAGTTATATGAATTGCACAAATAGCTTATAGTAGATATAGAAAAACAACTTGCAGAACAAGAAAAAATGATTTATAGTTAGATAATGAAAATTATTATGAATCAATCAATAACCTGCCAAAGATACAAACAAAAGATTAGAAGTATCAAAAATATATAGCAGCATTTAATAATAAAATATGAAAAAAAGTATTAAAAAAAACAACTAATATGTAGTATAGTGAAAATTTAGTAAAAGCAGATAGCTCTAATATCAATAATATATTAATTGGTATGAATAGTATTGAAATAGATAAAGCACAAGTTTAGCTAAGTCAAAATCAAGATCAAATCATACATGATCAAAATAAATATATACAAGAGCAAAATCAAGATAAGTGCATATATATTTATTAATATGTATGTTTATTAACTTTATTATAAGTAACTTTTTCTGATGATTTTCTGGATAATGCAACAAAAAATAAAACTACAGAAAATGATATAAGAAGTCTCAAGATATATACTATTTTCAGTTTTATCTTTGAGTAGCATTGTCAACAAAGCCTAAAGATGTAAAATATTGAGAAGCAGACATACCTTGAATGATTTTTCTTGAAGTTAAACTTCTTATATAGTAGACTTCTCAAGATATTTGGCATCTAAACTAGAAAGTTTATTCTAGAAACTGAACTTATCTTTGAACAGGTTGCTGTCAATAAAACTTAAAAAATGTGAAATACTGAGAAGCAGATATAATTTAAGTGGTTTTTCTTGAGATCAAACTTTCTTCTTTGGTGAACTTTTCAGAATATTTAGCATTCAAACTAGAAGGTTTATTTTAGAAGCAAATAGTAAAATGGCCCTCGCTAAAATAGTATAATCTTATAGAACCAACTATATGACTATAAAACTTACAGAAGAACTTTATATACTTTTGTTAGCTCCCCACTTTTTTTTAGAAAAAATTTTATAAAAAGTGAGCAATTTAACACCCCTTTCAAAAGATCAATATATTGTTTACTTTTCAAATCAGACAGTATTATTTACTTTTTTACCTGTCATAACAAATATATGGATACATATAGAATGTGAACATGTGGATTATGTGTCTCAAATATGGCAACTCAGAAAAACAATACTACAAGCCCAACAGTATGATTTTCTGATCTTTTTACAGTGCTGATATCGAAGAAGTTTTTCTTTTTGTTTTTTTAGATTTTAAGTTTAAATATATTATATATATAAATTAGTGTAGAGAATAGTTTAGATAGTAGTATATAATTTTTAAAAAGCATAACACAGGTTTATAATTGTAACTATCTGGTGTAAGTGAAAAATCTCATATTTAGTTTAGTTTTCTTATTTTATCTTTACTCTTTCTTTTCTTTTATTTGTTTTTTTTTACATATTTCTCTATATCTCTGTATTTTTTTTATAAAAATTTTTCTTTTTCTTTCACTTCTCTACAAGAAGATATCATCCGATTGGCAATATTCTATTGTAGAGCAGTGGTCAGACAAGCTCTTGATAGAGTATTATCTTAATTGGCAAATCACGAGTCATCTAAACAAATATATTTTTTTTTATATATAAATTTTATTATAAGTCCGAATGTGGAGCGCGCCTATCTAAAACTTTTTTTTTTATTAAGTAAATCACTCTTGGGCTTGTAACAAAAGTTGTAAAGCTTATCAAGAAGCATCTAATAATAGTAAGAACATTAAAATTAGCTTAGTAGTTCTTGTGAAATCTTTAAAAAACTTCTTTTTTACATATAAATTTCTTTAAAAAAAATTGATTTTTTTTAAAGAAATTTTATATGTGAAAAAGAAGTTTTTTAAAGATTTTTTAAGAACTACCAAGCTGATTTTAACATTCTTACTATTATTAGATGCTTCTTGATGAGCTTTACAACTTTTGTTACAAGTCTAAGAGTAATTTACTTAGTAAAAAAAAAAGTTTTAGATAGGTGTGCTCCATATTCAGGCTTATAGTAAAATTTATATATAAAAAAAAAATATTTGTTCAGATGATTCGTGATTTGCCAATTAATTGATCATACCTCTCTGGTACAATATAGTTGCCTGTAGATGCATGTAGATAATTAGTTAGATTATATAAGATAACTACAGAATATTAGATTTGAATATTTAATATTCGACTCTCTCTATAGAGATGTGATTTGATTAAATAAAGATATTGGTGCAATCAGCCTAAATGAAGCAAAAAAAAACTTTATTATAAACATTATTTTTAAAATAATAATAATATTGGAAATAAATATTGTAATTAATAATAAAAATATAGTAAAAAAAGTAAATCAGCAACAACTCTTTCTACTAATCATCAAAACACAAATTTTCAAATAAACAAAATTAACAGAAACACACAAAGACTACGAGGAAACACAACTTAGAGCTCTAAGTAAAGAAGAAAAAAACTATAAAAAACACCCAGCCTCTTAAGAGATTTGAGTAAAAAGAACAAAAGCAGCAAAGAAATAGAAGAAGTTGTAAAAAATCATCAATATTTTTTTTGCACTTTGCGAAATTCTGAAGAATTGGTCTTGACTCTAATTACAGATCTGTTTTGGTAATATATGAATTACAACACATAATGAAGAATAAACAAAGAAAACATGACCAAAACTATGTGACAAAAGTAAACAAGAATAGTAATCAATTGCAACAAACAATAACAACAACAATAGCCAACAACAACAATAAAAAAACAACAAGTCACATGAAGCAAAACATAGCAGAATGTTCTGAAAAAAAGCTTATATCAAGAGAAGCAATTATAAAAATTATTTAGAATATATTAACACAGATAACTGACAAGAAAATAGATTTACAAGTAAATAAAAGAATGGCAAATCTTGCTGAAAAGAAACTCATCACAGAATAAGAAGCTATAGTACAATTAATTGATCTTTATGATGAACAATTACAATATAATAGAGAAGAATTAGAGTATACAGAACATATATTTGCAAAAAAAAATTATCATAGCTTTTATTAAGCAATACAAGAAAAAGAAGACTCAGTTAATTTTATTATACAGGAAGAGGCATGTGGTACAATATTAGAATTAAAAATAGTTAACAAAGTAAGAAGTTTACTAGAAGACAAAAAAAAACAAGATGCTAAAATAAAGATGAAACTAGAA